GCCACCCCATATGTCCATCTGTGTGCATAGATCTTGTGCCTGTGCATGTAGAGGCCAACCTTTTATGTTGTTCCTCAGAAGCCATCTGCCTCGTTTTTTGAGATATGGTCTCTCACTGGGACCCAGGACTCACCAAACAGGCAAGGCTAGCTGTCCAGTGAGCCAGGATCCACCTGCTTTTGCCTCCCCAGTGCTGAGGTTAGGTGCTCCTCCTTGCCACATTTTTTTTGTGGGCGTGGAATTCGAGATCATGTTATGTAAAGTAAGTCAGACCATGGAGACGAGTCTCGAGTGTGCTCCTTCCTGTGTTGAATCAAATGTAAAGAAAGATGTGGCAGCGGAGGGGACTCCTGGAAAATGGAAAGATGTGGAGAAACGGGAGGAGGCTGCAGAAGAACAGGGCGGGGAACATGAGCAAAGCGCACTGTGTGCACAACTGGAAATGTCACAGTGGAAGTCCTCTCACTGTACAAAAAACACACAGTAGTAAAAGAGAAAAATGGCATGGGAATTCATTGTGCTGTTTGTTACAGAAGCACTGCAAGACACTCAAGCATGTAATGCTAATATGCTCTTACTACGGAGACCCTCACATTAAGGCGCATCTGGATCAGGGCATGATGTAGGCCTGTGTTTCCAGTGGAGTAGTGCCCATGATATGTAAAGTTTGCAGAGCAAATCATCCATCCATTCAGTCCGTCAGTCAGCATTCAATAAACACACAAGCTCACCCCTCTCCTGGGAATTCAAGACAGACACATCTTTGTTTTCATGGTGTTCCCCAAATGCTTTTGGTCCTGGTATTTATCACAATAGAAAGCAGACTACAGCCAGGGTGCAGGGGAAGGGGGGTATTCACCTCCTCCACCATAAATTTTTACACTAGTTTAATTATTTTTACAATGAAAATTTATCACTTTGTAATTTCTGTAAAAGGAATAGAGAAAATAAGATAAATGTGCCGTGTGTGTGCTAGGGCATGGACCATCCATAAAGAGCAGAGTGGGGAGGAGAGAGAGAGAGGAGGTAGGGGGAATCCATTTGGCAGATGCATACTCCCCCAACTTGCCAAGAGAAGCAGCTGAAATTTTTTCTGGAGTTGGTTAAGTGCATCTTTCTCTGAGTGAAATGTTTAAGTGTGCCTTTCTCTGAGTCTGGGTCCTAGAAACAAATGAAACAAAAACCGGTTGGTAAGTCGGATTCACCCTGAGATAGGACCCTGACTCCCAGAGCTGAGACAGAGACCTCCATCAAGACTTGGTCATCTTGTCCAGTCTCCTGTCCCCACTCTTTCCACATACAGGACAGCCTATACTCCTTGTGTGTCATGGTAGTTGTATGACTGGATTTTCTTTGTGGGAGGGGGACACATTAGTAAGTACCAATTCTCCCTAGAAAAGGCATCAACAACAACAGAGAAAAGGAAGTATTCCACCCAAGTCTAGCCCAGTGAGCCAGTGAGGTGAGGGGTTATCTGTAGGGCACAGGTGATTTAAAGACAGTTACATCATTAAAAAGCCCCCCCCCACACACACACACACGGGTGGCAATTCACAAAAGCTGCATCCCTAAAGCATCCTGTACAATATGCAGGCAGCTCCACCCAAATAGGCTCTCCCTGCCATTTGGGCGCCATGTTTTAGAAATCTAATCAACCCTTCACAATCTTGGTGTTATGGGGAGCCCACCAGAGTCGACCACTCAGACATAGTTTATAGCCAATTGCAAGTCTTTATTCCAGCAGGCTGAGACTGAACTCAGGTGTTTAGGACCCTAGCATAGCACTGAGTGTGCAGATCGCCGGGCTTTTAAAGGCAAAATCCACATCCTGGTAACTGGCTTGGCAGCTGCAGAGATAGGTTTGCACAAGCAAGCAGTTTAACAGAAGCCAAGATAAGTTAGCTGAGGCATCTTGACCTCAGGTTCCTAGGATAGAGTTGGGTAATTTTCCACAGTGTTCTCCATCAAGGAGATCAAATTCTAGTTAAACCTAAAATGGCCTCAGCAAAAATACAAAATGGAGGAATCTCTGGATTATCTTGCCCCATCACCTTGGAAAGGGTCCTTGTGAATCTTGTAATTTTCTGAGCCTTGTAAGTGTCCTCAGATTCCTGAATCTTATCAGCCTCCATTCTCCTCTATGGAAGGAATACTTCTGCTTTGAGGAATAGTGATACAGTAGTGACGGAGGGCTAACTTACTAGCTGTGTTTCTCAAGAGTGATGGGACCTGGACAACACCCTTCATCTCTCTGTGCCTCACCTACAAAATGGGGAAGATGACAATGGTAGCTAGGGGCAGAATCTTACAAGTTACACATGAGGACACAGCCAGTGTTCCATGTTATTCTCACAGTCGTTACTTCTGCCTCCCACCAGGATGAGCCTACGATTGCAGGAAGTTGAGATGCTTTCTGGCTGACTCCATGTGGCCTCGGTGCCTTGGGGTACAGTATCCAGCAAATCTGCACTTGGAGTGAGGTATCTCAGACCCAAGGGGCCTTAGACATCCCACAACCCCTTTTTCCTCCTTACCTGTGGAACCACTGAGGCCACACAGGCCAAAACCGAGCTGCTGTAGCTCACTGGGGACAAAGACAGTGGATGGCATGGACAGGTAAGTGGAAGCTGCTGCCTCTGTGTTGCAAGGTTGGTTTGTAAAGCAGACCCTTTGAAGATACTTGACTTGGTGTCTGCAGCAAGGGCAGACTGTCTGGAAAGGCTAAGTTTTATACAGAACACCCTGTTATGTGTGAACAATGCTGTTAAAATTGCCCAAATATTTAGTGTGGTTACATGTAAATTTCATGTTGTTACATGTATTTTCAACATAGGCTGTGCACTTTCTAACCTCCTTCTCTTCTTCCTCTCCTTTAAACAGGAACCCATTACACAGCCCAGACTGACTCCAAATTCACAATCATCAGGTTTCAGTTTCCCAAGGGGTAGGATTAAAGGTGTGCATCAACAAACTGGTTATTTTTCTTTTGATTGTTGAATAATTCAAGATGCCTGAGTTACAAAGGTCAAGTTTCCACCCTGTTCAGGCAGTTTTCCTGACTAACACCCTTCATAACTACAGCACAAAACTCCAACCCAGCATCAGTGAGCACCATCAGCTGCAGGAGAAAGACAAGTGGATGGAGGGGCAAACTGATGGTGCCTAGGTCACCATACAACTGTGCCACCTAGCCTTCTGGTACTTCACCCACCTTCCCCACATGCCTTCACCAGTATCTGCAATGGTCTTGTTTCAATGCATTTCTTTATTGCTTCCCTTCCTAAGTACAATGTGGTTTCCCTGGACCATCTTATTCACCATTAAATCACCTATAGTCAGTCTTTGACACATAGTAGGTGTTCAATAAATACTGTGTATCAATAAAAACTAAGTCAGTATTCAGAGGCCAAACTATGTGTTGCTCTCCTGGAAAGTGCCATGGTTTCTCCAATGTGCTGTCCCAGCTCCTTCTTCTGGCACTTCTCTGTTCATAGTTCCCATCAGCAGGCCACTCTGGATTCAAACCCCACAGGAATGTTTCTTCTGCTGGTATTCCTGCCAGCTCTACACACTCCAGCCAAGACACCCAGTCACACGGCCTCTCCTGCCACCTCCCTGGGCAGCCTCTAGCAGGCTTCATTCAGCCTTATGTCCTCCTCATAGGCATATGCCCCTGTCTCTTGTTTCTCAGGACCTGCACCGTGTCCAGAATAGCCACTGGCCCCGTTGGCTAAGCACCTGAAATGTGGACAATCTGAATGGATGTACTGTGGGTACAGAGGACAGATCAGAGTTTAAAGGATTAGTCTGAAAAAAAAAATGTAACAAATGGACTATTTTCTGAAACTGCAACATTTTTGGATGAGTTACATTAAATAAAAGATACTAAAATTAACATTGCAGTGTTTTGCTTATGTATGTGTCTCTCTTCATGTTCTTCCCCATGTGCTGTTCTGTAGAGAACTCTCCAGGAGCCTCTTTCTAGTCGAAGCTGGCACACACAAGGTGGTCAACAAATTCCTGCAGTAAAGGGACATTGAGAAGGGGACCTGTGAGTGTTGTCCTAACTCTTGACTCTTCTGGCAAGAACCAGAGCTTTCCAAGGACAAGGGACAAAGAGTCATTTGTCCATCCTACAGACCAAGTGTGGAAGACAAGAACAACAGGCGGGGTGTCTGCTGACCTGGGAAGTTAACACCCAACTGAGGCTCTGAAAGGACACCTGGTGGCTCTTGTGGGAAGCAGGAAGGAAATGCAAAGGACCAGACTGGTGAACAAGTGATGTTACGTACTGACGAGAATAATGTACACCGGGACACAGGATGCTAAGGGGAGGAGATCAGGATGCTGGGGAAGGGAAGGGAGTGGAGGTGGCGAATAAGCAGGGCAGGAGGAGGAGGAGGGGGAAGAAGAGGGATGGCATTAGTAGGAGAAGGTGAAAAGTTGGGGCTCTGTTGGAGGAAGTTCGTCACTAGGGGTGTGTTACCATGGGCTATATCTTGCCCCACCCCTTCATGTACCCCGTTTCTTCTGTCTTCTAGACACAGTGATGTGAACCAAACTGCCAAGACTTGCTGTACTTCCAGAACTGTGAGCCCGAATAATTTCCCCTATAACTTGTTAGCTCCAAACATTTTGTCACAATAATAGAAAAGCAACAAATAGTCACACGGAAAGCCAGCGGTTGGGCAGGCAGGCAGGTGTGGGTGCTGATGCTAGGACTCCTGTCACATAGGTGCAAACCTGAACATGTGTCTCTGTGTGCCTCTGCCTCCCACCCCTGTGACACACTTCCTCCAACAAGGCCACACCTCCAATAAAGGCACTCCTTATGAGTCTGGGGGGGGGGGTCATTTTCATTCAAACTACCACACTCCAGCTTTTGGCTGTTGGACTCCACACAGGTAGAGCATCTGTAGAGCCATCACAAAATACCCTAGATGTGTGCTCGCTCAAATAGATGCAAACGACCAGGGGGCTCCTACTGGGGCTTTCTGTCAAGGTGGGGCATGCAACACCTTCCTGCTCGGCTGATCCGGCAGATCATGGGGTCCTGGGGTTCTTGTTAGAGTCCCTTTCACTCATGCTCTGAAAACACTCAGGTATGTTGTCTCACGAGAAAGCAACATCACTTATTCTCACAGTGTGGTCTTGAATCTAATGCGAATAACTTGTATGCATTTAAGCCCAAACAAGCACATTTATGTGTGAAATATTCACATATTTAGATACCAGTTAAGCACGGGACACTGACAAGAAGTGAAGACAGACCCAGGAGGGAGAGACAGCCTCTGCCCTCCAATTACTTTCAGTCTGATAGACAGCTGGGGTGCTCATGTTGACATAGACTAGTAATGCTGCTGAAAATATCACTTTACATCTCACACCTGAGGCTGTGGGAAAGCATGTTTTTGAACATGTGTTTCAGACCTGACCTTTGGAGCTTGGCTCTCAGAGGCAAACTTGAAATGTCAGCTTGTGTAATGGTGGCTTTTGAATTTTGCCTCAACAATTTTTGGCTTTCTGTAACATCCTTTTAAGCTGGGTTTTCTTTTTTTTCTTCATAAAGGATATCCTTTCTCCAACTCATGAGTGAAGACTAATTTTATTTGATTTAAAAAAATGGAAGCAGTAGATGCTACACATTCATCCTGCTTTCAGTTTATATTTTGTTACAACTTTCCATTGCATCTGACACATTAACAAATCTTTGGATACATCATTTTGGAATTAAGACAATAATTTGCCTGCAAATTTGACAAAAAAATTTTGGTGATGCTGAAGATCCATCATACAGACGCAATTTGCTGCTGCTCTGATCATTTTCAGTAAAATAATCCAATTACACTCCACAGAATGCATTATTCCCTCGGCTGCTGATAAATGGAAAATAGTGTCATTAGTAAGGGCTAAAGTTCCCTTTACACAACTCAAGGTCTGGTTATGACGATGAATTGTAAGGACAACCAGTTCCAAACCCTGCAGATATGTATTTCTTCAGCAGACACGTGTCAAATCCTTACTTCTCAAGGCAGTTGAGGGAGAGGAAGGAAGGGAGGAGCTGTGCAGAAGAGAGAAACCTGGGGTCCGAGGCTAGGAGCTTGCCCTGCAGCTGCAGGAGGAGCAGTGTGCACAGTGTGCTGAGCCTTGGCTTCAACATTTGCCTGGCAACCCTCGACATCTTCTTCTGGAGACCCCCTCCTGGATACAGTAACCATGTGGAAATGCATCTAGTTTCCACATTAATGGAAAATATGTCTGTCAGAATTATTTTGATGACTGTGATGGCTAATTTCGGTTGTCAACTTGGTTGGGTTGAACAGAACCTAGGAAAGTAGTAGAGCACGCCTCTCAGGAGTCTGGGAGGGCATTTCCAGAGCTAAATCCCAGGACTCTGCTTTAGTAACTGGTTTGATCCTCTGATGTTTTCACAGTATGCTGGTATTACTTGGAGGTGTTGAAAAGTCGGAGTTGAGGCCTGGCTGGAAGAAGTAAGTCACTGGGCCTTTCCTTGTAGCTACATCTTACCATCGCCATGCCACCCACTTCCTATCTGCCATGAAGTGGTTCCCACCACCATAATGTGTTACCCAAATCCATGAAAGCAAACTTTCATGGGTTGAACTCCGTGAAACTGTGAGCTAAAACACGCCCAGAATTTTTTCTATCAGGAATTTTGTCACAGTCATGAAAAAGTAATTAACATAATGCCTTTTAGAAATAGACATAATTTTGATTTTATAGTTTTCACACTTTGTAGCTGACTGTTTCTACCTCCTTACTGCCAATCTCCAGCATTGTCACAGGCTCCTGAAAGCCCTGCAGGACCAAGTGGACACAATAAATTTGGAGTCAGAAATGATGCCATAGACCTTGATAAATGAAGATATTTCATCCACCCCAGCAGAAGCAGAAGGGGCCAAGAACTTTCCAAATGGGACAGACAGTGGAAGAAGGTTCAGGAACAGTCCAGAAAGGATGTTCAGACTTTGCCAGAGAGAAGTCTAAAAACAAACTTTGGAAATGGAATATGGGGGGAGCTGGAAAGATGGCTCAGAGGTTAAGAGCACCAGCTGCTGTTCCAGAGGCCCTGAGTTCAATTCCCAGCAACCACATGGTAGCTCATAACCATCTAGGATGAGATCTGGTGCCCTCTTCTGGCATGTAGGCATACATGCCAGAACACTGCATACATAATAAATAAATAAATTTAAAAAAAAAAAGGAAATGGAATGGGGATTCTATAATTTATTCTCCAGAGTAAATGGAGGAGCCCCAGATGGTTCCCGAGGGAAGCCTGGCCTCTGCAGGATGCTGTAGATGGGCCTGGGCTGATGCAGCTTCAGAAGCAAACCCCGAACTTCCTTCAGAGAACAGGTTCCAGACAAGGCCTGTTTGGAACCCACACACCATCTCTGCTGACTCTGCCCCATTTGCACAACATCTCTGGTCACAAGGCTCTTTAGTGTTCCTCACATGCTTCGCCTGCATCCGAGCTCCCTGGTCTCCCATGACCTGGGCCTGGTCCCAACGCCCAGCCTTCTTAGCACACACTGTATTCATTATTAAATGTGCCTTCCCCAAAGCACACTTCCAAATGCCTCACGCTGCAGCTTATGACCTGACTCTCTTGTAGGCGCACAGCACAGAGGCTGGTATAGGGTGGAAGCACATTTCGCAAGGTCACCAGGCTTAGAGTTGTAGTCAGGACAAGAATCCATGTTCAAATAACTCTGCTCTTCCCCACTGGGAAACTCCCATGGTTATAACCTCCAGACGAGCAGACAGCTCTGACCAGGTAGGGCACCCAGAGCTGCTTCTAGATGAAGACTGACTGTCTCAAGGAAAATGTAACAATTCTTTGGGCATGAGGCCCCAGAGTTTGCAGCTAAATTGCTGCAATTGTGTGTGACTAACCCATAGAGTTCTAGCACTCTCCAAGTCAGAGTCTGGCTTGCTTTTGAAGTCCATTTTTGGAAAAATACTGATGCCAGGTATAACCATGAGCTTCCCTACCTTTCCCACCACAGTAAAGGAGACCGTTCCTCAAGCAATGGATTCCTCTGTTGTTTTCTTTTTCATTAATTAATTTTAATTTTTAGCATGCCTGTGTGTGTGTGTGCATGTGTGTGCATGTATAGAGGCCAGAGGACAACTTGCTGGAGTTGGTTCTCTCCTTCCACCATGTGGGTTCTTGCTATTATCAGCTTTGGTGACAATTGCCCTTACCCACTGAGCCATCTTGCCAGCGCCTCATTTCTGTTTAAGGGGATTTGGTGCTGAAACCTTCCATACATGTCTGTCAACATCTCTATAGCTCACAGTGATCCTGCAGAGGCAGCGGGGCTGTGGGAGTGTACAGAATCACTGTAAAGCTAGGCCTTGTTGGTTGACATCACTGTATGCCTCTGTCGTTGTCTCCTGGGTGGTATCACATCCCCTTACAGATGGAAAACGTTGGGCCCTGACTTCAAAGCGTCCGGCTGTTTTATCACTAGGTTCTGGCTGTCCTGTCCTAACTCAACCCCTTCAGCATTCATTTCATCTTTTTCTCTCCCAGTTCAACCACTGACACTGGCCAGCTTTCTTTTTCTGCCGTCCTATTCCAAAAGGCATTACTGGTCCTGTGATTCTGTTCTGTTGAGGCAGACCCCAAGAGTTCTCAGCAACAAAGGCAGGAGGCAGCATGAGGTTCTCTGGACTTAGGTCCTCAGAGATGGGTTCCAGGTAGGATCCCGTAGAGCAGCTGACCAGTCACTGTCTGCTGCCTCTTCATTTCCTGGGATGACAATGAGCCTTCTGTCTGCAAAACGAGAAATCTTCCCTCATTTGAATCTGTGCTTACAGCCCCTAATTAAATAATAACTTTCACAGCACTCCACTGCTGGGAGTCTGAACAGCTAGCTCTTCCATTACCTCCCCTTCGTGAAGTCAAAATTACAGACCTGTCATTTCCTGGCTTTTCTCATAAATGCAAGCATTAAATTATACCTACACTCACCCATTAGGAGTTTCTCTCTGTGGTGGGTGTTTAAATGTCTCATAATGACTCTACTATCTCTTCAACTTTCCATCTCTCTCAGAATATTAATGAATTCCACCTTGCTCTAGAATTCTTGCCTAGCTTGTCTTCTAATTTCTTGATGTAACATGAATTTGATTGCATAAAAAGTTCCCTTTCTCCCTGGGGAAGAAAAGAAGAGACATCTTTCTTACAGTTACCATTCTTGGCATGGAGAGAAAAGAAATGCCTTTTAGATCTCAGAGTGTCTTTGACAGGAGTAGCTCTTTGGTCCCAGTGGATTGGTTCTCTCTCTGGGACGTTTAATCATTTTTTACCCTTTCCTCTGTTTTCTTCTCACTCAGACAACACTCAGGTTCTAAGGACTTTACATAGACGGTCTCTTAATCTTTGCAATATACCCATGAGTGGGTGCCGTTGCTGTTCCCATTGTACCAATGAGGCAAAGGTTTGTAGCTGTCCGCCAGATGCTACAGTTACCAAATGGGAGGTCAGGGTGAGTGGAAGTCACAGTCCAGATACCTGGCAGGGATTCTGATGTTATGAAAGCGTCCCTCAAAGAGCTAGGTAGCAAGGAGTTTCTTTGCTATCCCTGGGAGGGAGCTGCTCTTGGAACCGAACTGTCCTCAGCACTCTGCTCTCCTGTTGTCTCCACCCTTTCTGGCTGGCTTCTTGCTGTTCTGGTAGCAGAAGGACAGAGCCATGTGTCTGGCAACAACAAACTGAGGACCTGGTCCCTGCAGGCGGTACAAGTGCTGAGCACTTTGCCTGGGTGCCTGGCCCCTGCAGACACAAGTGCCAGCTTTTTTCAGCTTGTCACCAGCTACCACGGTCAGGTCATCCATTGGGAAGGGGGGGGGGTGGAGCATTAGGTCCCCATCCCATGTGGCCAGCAGCCAAGGTTAGTGTGTTGGAGGAACCAAGACTCAGGCAGACGCTTCCGTTAAAAACAGAGTTCTCTCGACAGCATGACTTATGGCACTTGACAGAATTGTTCAAGGCACAGAAAAACAAGTTTGACGGCGTGTGTTTCAGGCAGAGATGGGAATGTGGCACTTCCAAAGTCAGTCACTGGCAGCTTTTGTGGGGGGTGGGAACAGGAAGTGGGGACAACTTCATTCTCTCTTCTTTCCACCCAGAGCCCTGCTCTGTCTGGTGTCTGTAGGAAGTAGGCAAACCCGCTGCTTTTGCAGCCCACTAACCTAACGGTGCCTGGCAGCTCTGGAAAGCCAGGAACCCCAGGGCGTTGCTCAATGCAGAGGCTCTAAAACTCTGTGGCATAAACCAAGAAGTGTTTCCTAGCAAGATGCCTACTGAAAACCTTCTAGAATTCAGGGGAAATAGAGGGTTTTATTTCCCCCATCCTGGTTCAAGGTCTGCAGAAGGGTGGGCTGTTGCTGCAAAGATCAGATGAATGCATCATGCATCTCATTCAGCCCTTGTTTTCCTTTACTAAAGGTGCAGAAATACGAAGAGCCAGGGAGAAAAGGAAGGACAATGGCTCTGAGCTTGGGAGTGGAGATGGGGTGGGGAGGTGGGGGAGTGGACAGGAAAAGGGTGATGACCCAGGAAAAGTCACTCTGGCCCTTCCCACCTGTGAGAGCATGGGTCTCCAGTTTCCCTTCACACAGTTAGAGGCTCCGCTGTCCTTCTGGGTGGCAGCAGACATGGCTGGCAGTGGTCTGTCTTCTTCTGTCCCTGTTGAAGTGACAGCCATATTTATACAGAGTCGGTTTCCTGTCAGCTTGCTCCCCTCTGGACACCGTGGTCCTCCCTGTAACTTGGGTAATTACTTAAGCCCCACTGCACTTTCAAACGATTTCACTGGTCTTTGTATGTTGTTCCCTCACTTCTTTGAAAGAAGACTTCTCATTGTCCCCTAGTTCCCACCAAATCTCGTTTTCAACTTGTTATATGACCAAGACTATCTTATGAGGCCCCACATTTTTATTGTCTTAATTGTATATATTTTGTCTGCATGTGTGTCTGTGTGCCTGGTGCCCACAGAGGACAAAGAGGGTATCAGATCCCCAGGAACTGGCACTACAGACAGTTGTAAGCTGTCAAGGGGGTGCTGGGAATTGAACCTAGGTCCTCTGGAAGAGCAGCCAATGTTTTGACCACAGACTTATCTCTCCAGCTCCCATTTTGATTATTTTTTAAGGAACAAAATACTACTTTTATCAAATCAGTTGACAGTGAGTGAGAATGTGCTTTAATTTTCTTTGATTTTTTTTTAATATTTTTTAAGGTTTATTTATTTATTATGCATACAGAAGAGGGTGCCAGATCTCATTACAGATGGTTATGAGCCACCATGTGGGTGCTGGGAATTGAACTCAGGACCTCTGGAAGAACAGTCGGTGCTCTTAACCTCTGAGCCATCTCTCCAGCCCCAATTTTCTTTGATTTTTTTCCCAAATTTTATATAACATGTACTCAGAGTCATCTTTAAATTAACAATGACCTCTCACATTAGATTAATCCATCTATACATCAATCCATCATTTACTTATTTATGTGTGTATATATATGCATTCATCCATCCCACCCATTTAATCACCCAATAAAGAATCCATCCATCCCTCCCTCCCTTCATCCATCCATCCTCCAATACAAACATCCATCCAATCTATCCATAAATACACCCTTCAATCCAAATGTCCATCCATCCATTCACCCACCCATTCATCCTCCAATCAAATATTCATCTATACATCCATGTATCCATACATCCTCCAATCCAAACATCCATCCATCCATCTATCTATCCATCTATACATTTATACATCCATACATCCATCTTCCAATCCAAACATCCATCCATCCATCCATCCATCCATCCATGCATCCATCCATGCATCCATCCATTTCATTCATTCAGTATTTGTTCAGTGACTACTGTGAGCCATGAATATCTTCTTAGCTATAAGTAATATTTATTCAGATAAAAACATTCAGAGCAAAAAAAAAATTTTTATTTGAAATTTTCATTCATCCCAGTGACCACATGGAATCAGCTGCTTCACAAATAGGCTTAAACAGGCTATGCAAAAAATCAGTTTTTAAAAGATTCAAAAAAGCAATTGTTACGTATATTACTTGTCTTAGTTCTTTTTAGAGTGTATTATTTCTCAAAAGTTAGAAGTAATTTCTAGTTGTGAAGGTAAAGTAGGTCTCTGTTTCTTTAAACTGAACAAACTGACACTGGGCAGTGGTGACAGTGACGCACACCTTTAATCCCGGTACTCAGAAGGCGAGGCAGGCGGATCTCTGGGAATTTGAGGCCAGCCTGGTCCACAGAGCAAGTTCCGGGACAGCCAGGGCTACACAAAGAAAACCTGTCTTGAAAAACAAAAACAAAATAAAAGAAGAACAAACTGAAAGAAGGAAGAGGAAGAACATTACTGTCCCTTTGCCAGGCTCTCTTTGTTCTTCATTCCTAACCCTGGTTCCCACCCCTTCTTCTCAAAGCCACCATTGTCACAAAGGGAGGTTTTTCAAATGTATTTATATGTATATATACAATATGCTACAATTTACACTAAAATAAAGTTTAAAATTGTGTGTTTCTCTATGGGCGTACATATGTACATATTCCCTGATTTTTATGGCAAACTCTCAAAGATTTCAGTTGGCAGGTCGTGTGCTCCTTGCTTTCTGGCATCAAGGTCCTTTGGTGTTGGGCAGAATGGGCTTGGGTTTGCATGAATTCTGTATGAATGTGGGGAACTGTAATTTGCTAGATCAATTAAAATTTAAACTGCCTGCTTTGCAGAGGTTCCTCATTATCCATTTCACCAGTGCTTTTTACTTAGTTGGGAATGAGAATTTCTACAGCCTAGCCATTCTCAAACACACATGCACTCTGAGTTCACTGTCCCTGAATTTAGAGCAGAAAAATTGCCACCCAGGGAAAAATAACTGAACAAGAGAGTGTCTTAAAGCATAGGGCTGTCCCTATATCAGGCCCAAACTAGCAGTGGTGGATGCATTAAACTGGCTCTTAAGTCACAATGTTAAGCTTGCTAATGCTACAGCAGGGGTCAGAGCCTTCCCTTTGGCTCTTCATTCACATCATTCATTTGCTGGGAATTCTCTTTTTGTTTTGCACTGCAAGTACAGTTCATAATAAATGCATTTGCCTGTGGCACAGAGTCCATTCCTCATTCTCTGTCCAGCCTTGTCAGCAGATCTGCCCCATGGCATGGATCAATGGCATGGCTATATCTCAGTGATGATGTGGCCTTTCAATAACATGGAGGAATTCCCAAACTGGAAGATTTTAAACTGGAAAAAAAGTATGTGTCTCAATTGGTTTGAATGAGGAACATCCCCCAGAGCCTTGAGCAATAATGCTTGACCCTAGGTGGTGGAGCTGTTTGGGAAGGTTTAATGGGTGTGGCCTTGTAGGAGGAAGTATATCACTGGAAGCCAGCCTTAAGAGTTAAAAGACTCTGTCTAGTTCAGTATTTTTACCCCATGCTTGCAGTTCAAAATTTGAGCCCCCAGCTTCCTGTGGCTGTACCTGCTGTCTTTGCTCCACCATCGTGGCCGCCAACCCTCCTGAACTGTCAGATGATACAAGCTCTTCTGAAAGTTATCTTAATCACAGTGTTTTAGTCATAACAACAGAGAAGGAACTAATACAGTGTCTGCCTTTAGTCAGCAGGACTTGACAGACAGGTCTATAAACACAAATGATTATTATGTATGTTATCCTAAGAATCCATGTTAATTGATTCATTTCCAGGGCAGATTTTCTAAACAATTCAAAATTCTATTTTTTAGGCTCTTTTAAGGAGGGGAACAGAATAATTTGATTTATTTCTGAAGATAGTGCCTCATCATAGCCCAGGCTGGTCTTGAACTCAAACATATGGGTATGTGTCAGCACACCTGGCTATGGTTATGGTTCTTTTTTTTTTCAGAGTCCAAATTTACTATTATTAAATGGTACCAAATCTATAAAGAAGAAAGAAAGCCATTAAAATATCTAATTCCTCAATGTTCATCATTAAAATAGTAGAACTATTTTAGAAGCTTGAAGAATATCATTCTAAATAAATCTTTCTCTTTTTTACACATACAAATAGGAGGACAGATGAACTCACTAAAATACACTCCAATAAAACAGTAGGTGACTTCTGTACCCAACCCTCATACCCAGACAGGTCATCCAGACAAAAATAACAAGGAAATGCTCTAAAATTGACCACATATTTGGATATAAAGCAAGCCTCAACAGTTAGAAGAGAATTGTAATAATATCCTGTATCCAATCTGACCACCATGCATTAAAGCTGGATATCAATAATAACAGAAAGTGTACAAACTGAGGAAAACTGAACAACTCATCACTGAATGAATAAATGGGTCAAGCAGAAATCAATAAGGAAATTTAAAAATTTTTAGAGTTGAATGAAAATGAAAACACAACAAACCTTTGGGACAAAATGAAGGCAGGAGACAAGTTCATGCCACTAAATGTCCACATCGAAAAATGGGAGAGCTCTCACCTTAGTAACATAGCAGCATTCCGGAAAGCTCTAGAGCAATAAGAAGAAATAACACTCAAACTGGGTAAATGAAAGAAATAATCAAACACAGGGCTCAAACCAATTAAACAGAAACACAAAAAAAGACATAAAGAATCAATGAGATGAAGAGTTGGTTCTTTAAGATATTCAACAAGATTGACAAACCTTTAGCCAAATTAACTAAAAGATGGAGAGAGAAGATCCAAACTAATAGAATTAGAGATGAAAAGAGAGACATCACAACAGATACTGAGGAAATCCAGAAAATTATAAGGACATAATTTAAAAATCAGTATTTTGCCAAACTATAAACGGTAAAAGAAATGGATTTATTTCTTGATATATATGACTCACCAAAGTTAAATCAAAATAAAAAAAAATTTAAACAGACCAATAACTCTTAAGAAAATAGAATTAGTAATTAAAACTCTCTCAACAAAAAATGTCCAAAGCCAGATGGATTCAGTACAGAATTCTA